TAATGAAGCAGAGCACGGCAGGCTGAATGGAAGAGGAAGGGACGGACTAATAAGACTCAACTAGCTCCTTCCCTGGGGAACAGGCATGACGAAAAGTATACTAAAACACCTTCTTGGTGTTGGTGTAATGGCTATTTCGCTGGACTCCCATGGAGTCGACCGCAGTTCGAGTCCTGGACCCAGTGGCTTAAAACTCACCCGGGGCGCATGTGCATGCGTGCCCAAGATCCTGAGAGGAGAATGGAGGAGAAGGGATTGCAGTGTGGCCATCCCCCCTGGGGAGCGGGGTGATTTCTTGCTTGCTGTCTCTCTGTCTCTCTCTGTCTGGCGAGCATACACACCCTATAGCGAAAACCTCTGCAAAAAAACCAAAAGAATGGACTGTGGATACTAACCTAGATAAGGAAAGAAATAATAATGATAATAATAATAATAAAGAACAGATGGATTGATTTAAAGAAAAAACAAGATCTGCCTTTCTCTAGTGGAATTGTTGTGAAGAGTAAATGAGATAATGTCATATGAAAATGGATCGATAATAGCAAGGTATTGCTCTATCATGTTGAAGCTTTATATTTATTAAGAAGCCTGTGGGAAAGAAGGAAATATAAGGAAAGAATAGGTAGAGAAGTAGAAATCATTGAATAGTAAAAGAGAGGAATAGAATTTTTGCATCTGAGAAACCAAATATATTATGTCAGGCGAGAGTATGACACCAGATGACAGTGAAATCATTTCAAGGTTCTCAGCCTGCCTTGGCCCCAACTAGTTATCCACCTGTGGGATTAGGAATGGTGTGTCCTTCACCAGGAAACTCAGAGCTCACCAAAACTGAAAACATGTACTTTGGACTGAGTTTCTAGGAACTAAATGGTGTCCCAAAATGTCTGAAGGAGAGGTATATTAAATATTATTATGTACTGGGTCATTGGAAGCATCATGACATATTTTTCTGTTTTTTCTATAACAGAAATGCATCATGACTTTTCTGACGACCCAATGTTATATTATATAACATATAACACAAACAATTATAAACATGACACTTCTTCTGGGGAACAGAAACATTTATAGAAAAGTTGATATTTTTACTAAATTTCTAACAAATGGAAATACTTTATTTTTCAATTTTCTTTAATAATAGCAGTGGGGCTGACAGATGATGTGGTAGTTTAGGCACCGGCCTGTCATATGACCAACCACAGTTCAAGTCCTAGACCTGGCAACTTGATTTCTCACTTTCCCCTTTCTTTCTGTTATTTTCTCTGGTCAAATTTAAAAATAATATAACAGATAAAATTAAATAAATAGTAATTTTTTAAAAAGTCAAAATTTAAATAATGTTTGTCTGTCTTCTTAGATAATTGTATGTTCAGCTCATCTGCACATCTTCAACTGAATCTTTTTTTGGGAGATGAGCAGAGTGAATTTCCTGCATATTCTGGTTATTAGTCCCTTATTGAAGACATAGTTTGCAGATATATTCTCCCATTCTAAGGGTTGTTAATTCACTCTAATTATTGTTGCTTTTAAAGTGCAAAAACTTTTAACCTGATATAATCCTACTTGTCTGTATTTGGGATTATTGCCTGTGCTTTGAGGTCTTTTTAAAGAAGTTTTTGCCTACTCCAGTTTCTCCAAAAGTTTCCCTGGTGTTTTCCATGGGTAATTTTAAAGTTTGAGGTCTTTGGTCTATATCTTTGATTCATTTGGGGTTCATTTTTATTAGTGGTGAGAGATAGGGACCCAGTTTCATCTTTCTGCAGGTGGATAGGCAGATTTTCCAGCACCATTTGCTAAAGAGACTTTCTTTACCCCACTGCATTGTCTGGTGCCTTTTGTCAAAAATCGATTGGCTGTATGTTTTGAGGTCTATTTCCTGACTCTTTATTATGTTTCACTGGTCTACATGTCTGTTTTTGTGCCAATACCAAGCTGTTTTGATTATTACAGCTTTGTAATACATTATGGAGTCAGGGAGTGAGCTGCCTCCTACTCCATTCTTCTTGCACAGTATTGCTTTGGCAATACATGATTTATTTTATGATTACAGACAAATTCTATGATTGTTTTTCCAAATATGTGAAGTATGTTCCTGGTAATTTGATTGGGATTGCATTAAATGTGTAGATTACTTCGGGTAGAATTGACATTTTGATTATATTAATTCTTCCAATCCAGAAAGATGGAATGTCTTTCCGCTTTTTGTGTCATTTTGAAATTCTTTTTTACTTTTCCTTAGTTTTCTTTGTAAGGGTCTTTGACCTCTTTGGTTAGGTATAATATGGTGCCCTATATTTTTTGAGTTATTATAACTGGGATTGCTTGCTTCAGTTCATCCTCAGTCTGCTTGATTTTAGTGTATCAAAATGTTATAACATTTATGCATTGATTTTGTTTCCTGCCATATTGCTGTATTCATTTATCACTTCCCGGAAGGTTTTTTCAGGTTATTTTGGATTTTCTTTCCTTTTTTATTTTTTTTTTTTTTTTGTGGCGGTTTTTGCTATAGGGCGCTTGAGCTACCCAGACAGACAGAGAGAGACAGAGAGACAGAAAGAGAGAAATCACCCCCCAGGGGGGGATGGCCACGCCGCAATCCCTTCTCCTCCATTCTCCTCTCCGGATCTTGGGCATGCACGCACACGCGCCTGGCGTGAGTTTAAGCCACTGGGTCCAGGACTCGAACTATGGTCGACTAGTGGGAGTCCAGCGACATACCCATTATGCTAACTTGTCCCAAGCCCGCGGGACAAATTGGGCAGGGAAACTCGAGCGAGGGGGCGGAGGTCTGGAACCGGCGCAGCGTCTCAGCACGGGAGCGAAAGAAGTATCACAGCTCACACAGTGTCACAGCTCTTGATGGTGTAAAGGTTTCGCTCATTTATTGAGGGGTAGAGCGCTTTCTTATATACACAAGGCAGAGGGAGGTAGGCGGGGTTTACAGCGGACCTAATTGAGGACCTGTCAGTTCTGTCTGAACCAGGGGGTCTTTCCCTATGTGAATGCCCTTTATTTTATTCTCTTGTCTGATTGCATTGGCAAATACTTCTAGTACTACATTAAAGAGGAGTTGAGAAAGTGGGCAGTCTTGTCTTGTTCCAGTTTTTAGTGGGAAATCATTTAACTTTTCCCCATTCAGTATAATGTTAACTATTGGTTTGTCATAGATGATTTTTATTGTGTTGAGAAATGTCCTTTCAATTCCAATTTTGCCAAGACGCTTATCATGAAGGGATGTTGTATTTTATCAAATGCTTTTTCTGCATCAGTTGATATGATCATTTGGTTTCTATTTTTCTATTAATATGATGTATGACATTTATGATTTTCCATATGTTGAACTACCCTTACACCCCAGGAATAAAACCTACTTGGTTGTGCTGTGTAATATTTTTTATGTGTTGTTGGATATGATTTGCTTTTATCTTGTTGAGAATTATTGTGTCTATATTCATCAGTGATTTTGATCTTTAGTTTTCGTTTTTTGTTATGTCATTGTCTGTTTTGGGGACAAGGGTAATGGAGGCTTCATAAAATGAATTTGGGAGGGTTTATTCCATTTGAATCTTTAAAAAATAGTTTGAGTAGAGGGATCAGCAGATAGCATAATGGTTACATTGCTGGATTCTCACAGAGTGGAACATGGTTCAAGGCCCAGACCTGGTGACGTAAACCTCACACCAGGTGCATATGCATGCATGGCCAAAATTCCAAGAGGAGAAGGGATTGTGAGGGGTGATTTCTTCCTTTCCATCTCTCTGC